TTGGATGCTCTTCCTCATATTCTCTTTTAGACTTAAAAATATCTCCCAATTCTTTGAATGTATTAACTTTTTTGAATGAAATGATATTTTTAATTTGTTTCTACATAGCAATTAATGAATTATTTCCCATACAAATGACCATTATAAAGATATAATGCGAAATTGAACAACTTGATGACCCTTTACTCAAACATTATAGAGCAACTGCCGTTTTGAATACCAATTAGGCTCGCACAGTAGACACAGACTTTGCCATGTGAATGCTGTCAGCATCTTTGCTATTTCTGGCCGATTGCATCTCCACAAGCTATCTGCTATATATATCTTACTTTGTAGAGCAGCTGCCCCACCAAATTAAATTTCAGCAACTAAATGTGTGCGTGTGTGTGTAAGCAAAACAAAAAGAGGAGAAAAAACCGGAAAAACCTTTAGTAACGAAAAATCAACGATGGCAACGCATAAGAATTGTAACAAGTGAGGGAAAACCTGATTTTTCCTTGACAAGAGCTGCATACAGCCTTAAAGCCAAGGGGGCCGGATGTTACGAAATTGCTGGGGTCCCGGCGGCCGGTAATTGGCAAACTGAACAGCAACAACAACAGCAATAGCAACATCAGCAGCAGCAATAACTGCAACAACAAAAACGTTGACAACAATTTTCAGTTTAACAAAAAGTGCAGCGAATATAAATATGAGCGGGTTGCATGGCAATGCAAGTCCAAGGGCCGGAGATGTTTGGTTGGCCAGTTTATACTTAGTTTGGTTTTTGTTTGGCCCAAAACTAAACGCCAAGACAGATGTGCGACATTTTGCAATTTGTTACAGTTGCAGCATGGCGTGGCATTAACGGCCCAGGCCTGGGAAGTTGTTGCAAGTTAATGGCAACCTAAATATTTTAATGCAGCCGCTTGCCACGCCATGCCGCATTGATGGTTTTTGTGCCGGGCTACGCCAGCAATTAACATTTTTTGCGTGCACAAATATTTTTCGACTTGGGAGAAAGAAACAAAAGCAACAGCAACTGCAACAGCAACAACAACAATACGAGAATAACAACAACAACAATTACAAACAGCAGATGCACATGAAATTCACAACAAAACAGCCAGAGAACCAGAGAACAGAACAACCAAAGCAGCAAAGAACCTGCTACATGAAACTAAAACGAATTAAACCTTAGGTGAAGTGAGCTAAGGTACGTATAAATAAAAAATACAAAAAACAAGAGCGCAGCAACCAACTGAAAAAGCATCAACATCGAGAGCAGTAGCAGCAACAACAACAGTTGCCACGACTTGCCGGAAAACGTAACGAAATATGTTAAAATGCAACCAAGTGAGTAAATTGTGCGCAGAAACTAGGAAAAAAACACAAGAAATAGCATCTTCAGAACTCCGAATATTAAATACTCTAGCACGGCCTTAATTGTAGAGTCTTTCCATGCAAAAGAAATGTTTAAAGTCCTCGTATTTGCTTCTTATTTCTGAACAATTGTTCCCACAATTCATCACAAAGTATTCAATCGTTTACAAATCTAAGAAGAATAAATATTTAAGATCTAATAAAAGCAAATAGCTTCTTATTTCTAGCCAACATTTTCAGCAATTCAACCCAAATTCATCCCCCGTTTAAAAATCTAATAAAAACACTGCAAGAACATTGTCTACTAGGTTTGGTGACCCCGAATATATGCTTTTCTAAATAGATGTATTATTCCAGCAGATACATCTCTCTGGCTTCTTGGCTTCTACGTATACTTCATACAAGTATATTAATGCCATTTCTGAGATTATAATACTTTAACCCTTTGGGTTAGGGTATAGCTGTTGAATGTTGTGTTTATGTAGAATATATACACAACCACATACTCTCTATGATAAACTAAGCAAATTATTATTTAAAAGCACAGCTCAGTGGTGAGCGCAAGCGGCGGCGGCCACTTGTACAAAAATTATACATAAATTGTTTTAATTACGCGCTGCCGCAAATTGTGGCATGAAGGGCACTGCAACAGCAGCAGGCAGTGGCAGTGGCAGCTGAGGCTGCACTTTGTTTTTGTTGTTGCAGCTAGCTTTGAGAAAATTGTTACCAAATTGCGTTCGTTTTGGTCTCGCCGGCATTAGCAGTTACGATAAGGAGCTTCTAAATAGAGATGGAAACATGGTAGAGAGATAATACTATAAAATATAAATATACTATAGTATATATTCGTATATCCAACATATCTCATAGACCTGAAGAAAAGCAAAAATCGGTAAATTTATTAATGAAGCTTCACTTCAAAAGACATCTTGCCGAAAAATGGTTTAGAAAGGTGAAATAAAACGTTTGTTTTCTATTTCACCTAAAAAGAGAAGAACATTTCGCGATAGAATTTATTCATTCTTTAAGGTAATTATTATTTTTCCATTTACTTTGAGCTCCATAAGCCTTTTCAGCCCTGGTAGTTTGCTGCAACTATCTTTTTTTAATATTATAATTGCTGCCACATAGAAACACGCTCAAGTTCGGCATGGAAAATGGGGCCAGATAGTTCCATTGCCACGAAAAAATTTCCACTTTACATTTTTTGCGTGTGTTTCTCTCTATTTATTGTTGCTGCTATTCTTTTGTTGTTGTTGTTGTTAAGCATTTTCATATGAAGGGAGCACTGACGCAGTCGTGATAGACAATGTTGCCAACTTTACTTGCCGCTACCACTGATAATTACTGGGTTGGCTTATTTTTTTATGCTATGCTTTACAGAAATTTATGTTTGCTTCGCATGCGCTTGCAGCTGCGGGTGTAGCTAATAGTGTGGGCATCAGTGTATATGTGCGTGTGTGTGTGTGTGTGTGTGAGCTGTGCACACAGAAGTCAAGTCAATCTTTAGACTTGATTTTACATAATTATTACAGGCTGCTGGCTGGCAGTCGCTCTCGACATTGTGGCTGCTTTTATTGTTTTCCTTTTAATTTAAATGCCTAAACAATCATTTGTGCATAATTCTGGGAGGTTATTGTTTTTGGTTACGTAATTTGAATTACACAGAGACAGGCAGACTGCCAGACAGGCAGACAGAGAGGCGAAGGGCGGCCTCAACATGCAACGAATATTAACTGAAATAATGCAAGTTCGAGCACTCGGGCAGTCAGGCAAAGGTTGTCTTGACTTTAGCAGCGGCCTGCCAATTACTTTATGCAAATTTTGAAAGCATACTAAATAAGAATATATATTTAAAAACAACAAAAATATACTCTAACAAAGAAAAAGTGCTGCCAATTAGGAGACTTCCGACACACTGGTCAGGGTTTTCTACAAATTTATAAGCCAAAAGGCACAGTTTCCGTTTGCTATTAGAGCCGTTGCGGCTGCTTTCTTTTTGTCTATATTTACGCACAAATAGATTTCGGCCTTAACAAAAAGATAAACGGCATTTTGCTACAAATGGGCACTGGTTTCCTGTTTCCTGTGAGATATACAAATGTGTGTGTGTGTGTGTGTGTGTGCGCGCGCTCTGTTAAAATTTACGAGCCTCGGCAACGGCAACAAAACAAAACAAAAGCAGAAACCTTCAATTTCCAACTACAACTTGCAACTTTTGTGCGTGAAATCGCCAGTTCGCGAACGAGGCGAAATGACTGCACGCACGAAAATGCGTACAGTCGCCCACAAAAGGCGGCCGCCATTTTGCCCCCTAGCATATGCAATGCATTTTGCGCGTATCGATGCTTTTGATATGCCTTATGGTGGGCATGTGAGTGCCATGGTGCAGGATACGAGTACGGGGTGAAAAATATCGATAAATACGGGCCCCAAACCACAACGACAACCTGACTCATTTCTTTTGACTGCGTGCATTTTATTTATATAATAAATTTTACATAGGCGTAATTACATAAACGCATGTAAATGCGTTAGCTGCGTCATGCTCCTTGTGCCTGACCGATGGGCGGAATGGAGCAGCCGCCAATTTACGCACAATGAAGAAAGTTTTGCGGCAATATAACCGATACAGGGGCAGGAGCATACACAGAAACAGAAGCCGAAGCAGAAACAGAAGGAGGAGTTTCAACTCCACCCACTACTAACGCAACGCTAGCTTGTTGTAAATGTTTAGCTTCCGCTGCGTGAGTGGGCGTGAGTGTTAGAGCTCTTATTTGGGCATGGCTGACTGAACGATGCATTGGGCCATTTAACATTCCCCAACCATTACCAAATTGCGGCCGAGTTCGCTGTCAGTCAACCAACTTTCTGCCAGGTCAGCGTCACCCCATGTGTGCATGCGTGAAAATTTTTCCACCACATCGATTACTTTACGCAAATTAGTGCGTAGATATTTTGCAAAAATTGTCTATAAATAATTAATGTGCAGGTTAAAGTGCGTATGTATACCCACACACACACACACTCACATTGAGAAATATTGCAGCAGGTTGGGAGATATAACACATAGCATTTACTAAGCTCTATATGGAGCATAACCGCTTTATTTAAGTTAAACGCTTAATTTAGCAATTTTACTAAATTAGCTGCGGCATTTGGCAAATTAAATACGAAGTCCAAACTATAGCTCCACTTGAATATAGTAGATGGGGTCTTTAGCAACCACTACTTGGTTTGGTGACAACTTTTTCAAGTTGATGACAGTATTTGGAGAGGCAGATGAACTGTATTCCGAGTGATTAAAGATTAAAAGATTAGAAATTGTTTGGTATAAGAACACAAATTGTCCCAGGTTACAATATATTGGGGTTGCGGAGTCATTCGTATGGAACGTTCTTTGAAGTGCTTTATTGAAGACTTAGAGATCCTCAATGTTTAAGGAAAACTTTAATATACATTTATAGCCTTTCACTACTCCAAGGACAAACTATTTTTTTTTAAAGAACTAGTGTTCATTTATGATTGAGAATCCATCACTATTAATACCTTCTCTATTATGTTTGTCTTGTATCTAGTTACCAAATATGTTATAAGTAATACAGAATTTCCACAACATACAAGTATAATGAGCAAAGTTTACAATTTTGAAAGGTTGTTTATTTTAAAATATAAAATTATATATTAGTTGCTTGCAGCGGAATTCTATAATTGCATTATAAATATAGCAATAGCATTCAATCGTAACCAATTATGGTGGGCAATGCATAGTTGTTTAAATTTTTCTTATGGTAAACGTCTTTTAGGAAGCTGAATACCTTCGGCTCATTCCACTGTGTATCGGAGATTATGTTTATACTACACCCTGGACAATCTTTTGCGGAGGGGTATTGCAGCTTCAAAAATTTAGGATCCTCCGTAGAATCACCCGCTAAACGTTTATTAACCTCGTTATGAGCCCTCCACAGCCAAAGCACTTCCTCATCTTTATTCTTGACCAACCAAATTTGGCGACGACGTGCCATTTCAAGAAAGTGATTCACACAATCTGTGCAGCCGAAAAAGTTCTTCACAAAACCGTGTATGGCTTCGAGAATAAAGCCCGGTTCGATGGTGTTATCATCGGCAGTCTGGACAGTCAAATAGTGGAAAAGCGTCCACAGCGAGCAGGTGAATCCACGGAGATTGGGGCGCGAGGCAATGCAGCCCACAAACCGTTGAGCCTTAAAAATTTTTGGTAATTTTCGCTCCTGGAGGCGCAGTTCGTTCTGAAAATCTTCTCCACTCAATGAATGCTTCACATTCTTCACATAGTCGTATAGTCGGTTTAACAATTGCTTTCCCGGTTTGTTTAATGGGTTTAGTTTTCGTAGGACATCTAACAGATTCCTCAGCGCTTGAAGGCTTTCCTCGCGAATACTGCCCGCTCTCGGTATCTCAATGTGTAAGATCATGTCAATAGCCTGCTCCAGGTCGGCACGATACACAGTCGCTTTGCCATTGGTAACGGTTTCCAAAATTCTACGATCGACGTCGTCCAGCTCATTGGATGGCAGGACAATCGTAGGTGGGGTCGGCTCCGGATTAAAGGACAGCATTCTTAGTACGCTAGCTATTGCATTAACATAAGCTTCCCGAGTGTCTCTAGCTACTTTTAAGGGCAACTTAATACCAGATTTTTTATCGATAATGGATATTTTTGTGTTCTCAGTATCAATGTCAAATTTCTTAGCGACAGCGCTATTGTCGACGATGCGCACATCAACCGGCCAGGATAAGAGGTCCAGTAGTGTATCACGTCCAATAAAAGAACCCGGTGGTTGGTAAATCACAGCCGCATAATCGAAATCATAATTTCTTCTCTGCTCAGCTTCCAAAAGCGTCAAAGGCCTTGTAAACGAAACGTAACTTGAAAGTAATTCTGCCACTGCATTGCGAATTCCATCAACGTCCCGTTTCATTATTGGTATGATCTTCTTGTTCCCATATTTTAAATCCATAAAATATAATGTAGGCACAGATGTTATATTGTATTGACGGCAAAGCTTCACATTAATTTCTTGGGCACAGTCAACGACTAGCACTTGCAGAGCGCTCCTCCATTCGTATAGCTGCAATGCCACCTTCTTAAAGGTAGTCGCAAAGCGCCGACAGTCTCCACAAAACGAATTTATGAACTGCACCAGAGCCGGATTAGCCAGAGTAGTCGGAGAGTTCAATTTCGATTCAAAAGTTGTTGCATTCTCCATGGACACCCTATCGTTAACGGTGTACAGGCTCGGATACACCTTCTCAGCTGAGCTGGTTTGCACGAGACAGAGAAAAAGCCACGTTGCAAGCGTGGCCAGCAAGAATGGTCGCGGCATTTTGCGATACGATGTTGACGTTTAAACTTTGCATCGACTACTGATCAACTGTATGGATGGCAACGTGCCTTTATAAGCATTCCTAATTGGCTGGTGTTATGAGTAATTCGTGAAATAACAATAGTTCATAATCCGATCTTTGCAAACGACTTGCATAATTCCATAACAAATATCCAATTGATTTAAAGCTAAATTAATTTGGTGTTTCCATTGATCTACTATAATGCTAAGTATATAAAGTTTCTTTTCAATTCTTTGTTTTTTTTTTTTAATAATTCATCGTGTCAGTGTATTATCGAACGCAATTCTTACAAACTGATATAGCTGGCAAACATAACCTCCCGTACACAATTGTAAACATATTGAAAATGCTAAAAAACAAAATAAAAATTGTTCACAATTACATTTCCTGCTTTATGAGTTTTCCATTTTCCTAACAGCATTCGTTTCCATCAATATATTTATGCACATATATCCAATGTAGTAGCAAAAAATAAACAAAACAACAAAACCCTCCAAATTATATGCAAAATTTTTTAGTTCTCTACTCGACGTTTTTATTTATCGTCTAAAATTTAAAACGCTTGAGACTACTCAAAGTAATTATTTTTACATCTTAAATACATACATATTTATAAATGTATTTTATTTTTAAATCTTAAATCTTTATATTTATTTTTAAATCTTAAATACATATTATGCCTTTTAAATTGAGATCAAATAGCTCAGAATTTTAACCCTTGAAGCTGTACAAATATGCCATCACCATTGTGTGGCATAAGTTATGCTCACCACACTTACTATAATTGTGGCATTGAAATATTGAACTACGCAGCGACTGAATTATTGGGTAGAATGGGAATGAGAACCGGATAGCGTGTCATTTTTAAAATCGTATCACGTCCAACAGTTGAACGATTGAGCTGTTATACAAATACCATTCTTGTTCCCTGCATATAATACATCCTTTAATTTGTTTCTGTCTTCGATGTCTTAAGATTTAGGTCTACTTTGGTCTACTAAAGGGATGGTGTTTTCACAATCTCGTGTATGTGGCCAAGGAACTGACTCCATTTAAATATTGATAATTGAGATTTACAATGGCTTATATTTAAAGGAAGAAATATTACTGTGTTTTAGATTCAACCTGAAATTAAGTAACAATCTATAAGATTTCTTGTACATTAAATCATCGTGATCCTAAAAGTGAAACTGCGCACTCCAAATAGGGGAGCTACGTTGAAAATTAAGTAAAGCTTGAAACTATTCAAAATTCGAACTCTAACTTAATTGTAATAGATTCATATATGACTTGGCCTTATTTTTGCCCCATTTCGAGTATTAATTATTATTGAGTTAAAAAATTGTATCTTCTGACTGATAAGACTACAGCTTCTGTTTCTTTATTTCTTAAGTCTCTTATAAGAAGTTAAAATCCCAAATTTACAAGACAACGAGCATTTTGCTTTGAAACTGTTATCGGGAAATCGGTCTTTATTTGAAATTATATCGTAATATCCATATCTATATCTATCTGAAACGCATTTATTCCTCTGACTTGACGTTCAGTTTTCGTAATGCGGCCTTTAGGCGCTTAGAATTTTCGTTTAGGTTAACTACTTCACCCTTGCGACTAATAACAGCCACTTTGTAATATACCGGATCTATTCCGACTTTAGCCGCAAGCAGAGGATCGCTGACAATGCGCACTTGTACCGGCCAACGAAGGAACTCCAACATAATGTTACGCCCTAACTTCGACTGCTGTGGCTGATAAACCAGTATTGTGGTTTGTCCAGATCTCAATAAAGTTCGCAGCTGCATTACATTCGATATGGGATCCAAATTAAAATGACCAATTGGTAGATATTTATGTTTGGCAATCAAGTCAGCTAACTTTTCGCGCACCTCATCGGGCGCTAGCGGACCAATGTCTTTACCAACATTTTCTTGGCGATTCGCATATGCCTCAAAGAAACGCAATGTGGGCACCCTTCTAACTTGAAACCGTATACATAGCGCCACGTTAATTTCCTTGAAGCAGTCGACAGTGACGAATTGGAGCACACTATCCCAATCCCAAAGCCGTTTTGCTAGATCTCTAAAGACCGGCGCATACTTCCGTGCAGAGGCGTATGAAGAGTCGGTGAATTGAACCAGACTGGCCTTCAGATTCCCATAAATCGAGTCGTCGAAATTTGTCGCGTTCAGCACCTCCACAAAGTTGTACGCGTTCCGAGTCACATAGGGTCCCCAATCCTTTCTTTCAGCTGCCCAGGAAAGTGCCAGCAATATTGCCAACGTAATCAATCGCAACATTTCAAAAGAATGCGTGATCGTTACCTATCCGTACTATATACACATACATTTAACAAGCAATTCGTTAGAGTCATAGTTTGATTTAGCAGGTACGTACGAGTATATATAGTGGCTATTTGAAAAACATTTCATTTGAGATACATGCGGATACAAAGTACTTACACTACTATATTAAGTTCGACGTAGTTTTATGAAGCTGCAATAAAGGACCAGTTACAAGTTATTGTCAAATTTTCTGGAATTCAGTTTATAGGTTTATTTTCCCTTAGTTTTTTGAGTTATTATTTTACTAACAAGCTAGCGAGAATCATGACAATATGAGTTCGTTTCAAAGATTCTCTCCCAGATTGCAAACCAATTTAATTCACAATTTAATAATTGCCCAACCCAGGACAGATCTTAAATAAATAATAACACGGAAAATACTTCAACCACAAACAATTAAACATTGATAGAAAGCGTTCTGTTTTTTCTATTTTTTATTTTTAGAGAGGGGAAATAGAATTTTGTTGTAGTTTTTGGGCGTACGCTCCACTCTAGATATTGAGCTTACATTGTAAGAATAAACTCCACAAACTCATTGTTGTTCCTTTTAGGTAGTCTTCATTTCTCAGTTCCTTACAGAAGAAATTATCCTCTCCTTCTTCTTCATAGATGTATAACTGATGAGCACAAACCCTTTCGGGTTGTATGGTCAACATACTACAATGAATATTTTCACCTAATCTCAACGGAACTGTCTCTTCCTTTAATAATAGCCTCTCTCTTTAGCCTTCTTCGGAATCTCTGACCAGGAACGGCTGTGAAACGGGGCATAAATAGCTTGCAGGACTGCCTAAAAAATCTGAGATTAAATTTTTTTTTTATTTTTCTTTTCTTTGTTCATATTTTTGACTAGCTTTTAATTAATTCATTTTCTCTGTTATGTTTTTCTTTTTATATTGGTAGATCTATTGACACCTCTGACCACACTTGGCTGTTAGACGGGGCTAGCCATTAGGCAAATAATATTCCCCCACACCGGGGCGGAGGCATTTATTTCTTTTTTCTTCTTCTATGAGCTTAAATTGTTTCTTTTTGAAATAATTTTTATATAGCTGTATTCTTTTCTTCCTGTCGACAGTCAATGTTTGTTGGCATAAATATAAATAAATAAATAAATATTAAAAAATAAAAAAACAAGCAAAGCACCATATTTATTTGTAATAAAAAGTAACACAAATCATGCTATAATTTCCTTTAGATTTGAACTGCGGGCCTGATTTTGAAAAACCTATATTACATGCGTTGGAATGTTCTGTTGGGGCTTAAGTGATAATGAATTCCCGGTTTTCTCATTCTAGTTTTCCGATACCCACAAGTTCATACAGCTGGTCATATGTGCGGGCTGATAGACCGATGGGCTTGAGGAGAGGCCAAGATGGTTATTATTTTTGGTCACCACATCAGTTTAGTGTGTAAATCAAAACACAAATGCAACAAGTGAGCACGAAACCGAAACTAAAACTATTTAGTTGACTCATTTGCATGCATAAGCAAAGCAGCCACAACTGCATGCAACTCCATGCAGTCAGCAGGCAGATTATGTACTACAGTATGTTGTGAGATCAGCCAAAAAGCAAACAAGACTACACAGAAAAGTTTCGGTTTGGATGCCGGCAGTGGCAAAACAAGCTGTGCACCAAGTTTTCGAGAGCTCAAATGCAGCTTAAAACTTTTTGGCAACAGTTTATGGCCGACTCGTTGGCAGCACTGAAAACTTTTCACACTCTAATTTAATTGCGACAACGAGGCGCTGAAGCAGCTCTTGGCCCTCTGCGTCATCCTCGTCCCCAACACTAGTGACTGTCGGGGCGTCTGAGCTGTCTGGCATGGATGCTGGCATATTTCATGGCAAATTAACTGTGAAAAGGCGTTGCAGTAGAAATTGTTAAGCAAATTTTTGCAAGTGTTGGATTGTTGTGATACATAGTCGAGAAGTTCGGGGTCTGTTTTGCAACTCGCATACAAGTAGTTGGATGAATTGCCATTTGACCGGCAGAGCCACATAGTAGAGCCATTCAAGTAAAGTTTTGATGGAGAAATTGGCAATTAGAATTTTATTAAATTATTAATATAAATAAGTAAATAAAGTTAAACATTTAAAATAGTACGTGAAATATGAAGAAAAAATCTAAGAAATATGAATATCATTTTTAGTTTGGTTGCTCGAATTCGGTTTTAAAAGCATTTCAGATTACTTTATAATTGGTCAAAATTCGAAGTATGTTATTTATCTTAGCTACGGAGTTTTGAATAATTGTTTCTTGTTCGAAGAAATTGTAATGGAGCTCTTATTTGACGCATTTTCCAATAGAGCTGAAGAAAAAATTCGATGTTGACTGCATCGATTTTGTTCGATCAATCAATTAATCATTAACAGAACGAAATAACATTTGATTGTCATTTTCGATAAGATCATACATTGTCAGTGTCACTATCAAGAATTATGTAATTGATTCTCAAAAAAAGTTAAATTTATTCAAAAGTTCAGTTCTATTTCACAAATACTTATTGGCTATTTTGTAGTATGTACATCTCTCAAAACATTTGATTTCTGGGATACCAAAAAATGTATGGGTCGACGGTAGATATATGTAGTAACAGCCACTACCATATGAAGGCGACCTTTGTGATTTAATACTTATTGGCTTGAGCCTGCAAACTTTCACTTAAATAATTGGGTTTGGCTTAGTGCAAACAACGACAACAGTAAAATTAATTAATAACGAAGTAATAATTAATAATAGACCAAATATGTTTGTACAATTGAAGCGTATTCGTATTCTTATGATCTTATTTTTGATAAGGCTTAATATAAGTACGATCGGTATGAGCGTAATAAAAACAAGAGAGAACGCTACAGCCGGACAAGCCCGACAGTAAAATAGCCTGTACTGTCCACAAAAAAAAAAACAAAAAATTAAAAAAATTGAATTTATTAATTATTTAATTAAAATAAATTAGAAAACATGGACTCTTACTATTTGCTGATGCCTTTTACATCGATAAACTGATATGCTGTGATCAATCAATGAGGGTGATTGAAGGAAACAAAGAACCCAATATACGATTTTGTCTATTAATAAGTCCGACCTAAGTTTAAACGAAAGAATCTGTGCAGCTTTGTCTAATACTGCATACATATATTAAAATAAAAAGCACATCATTATTAAGACAGGGCCGTATGCTGAATGTGCACAAAATAATGCATCGTTTAATTAGCTAGAGAGATGTCTATAACAATGATTTCTAAATTAGTTTTAATGCCACAATAATTGTCGCATTTACATTTGCAACTTTCAATCAACGACCGAATGGCAGCCAAAGACAATGACAGGACAAACATATGCGGGACTATTGGGGCTAAGCTAGAGCTGCTCCCCAAACCCTCTCCACACCCCCAACCCAACTGCATAATAATCAACAATGCGCTGGGTTGACTGACGTGAACAATGTAGAAAATCGGTTTGCAAATCATGCAGCAGTCGCCCAACATGCCAGTCTGTGAAAATTGCGTAAAATACAAATATTGTGTAACTTTTTTCCGTTTCTGTTTCTGGGATTTTTTCCATTTTGTTTTCTTTTTTTGCATCCGTTGCGTGCTTTGGGTGGCGGGCAGCAGGACTATAGTCCATCAAAACGATTTCAATGCGTCGTTGACGTTGATGAGTTTGAGTGAAATGCGTTGAATGACAACAAGAACAACAGCGGTAGGAGCAGTGGCAGCAGCATCAGTAGCAGTAGCAACGAGTTGGCAGCCAGGCGGCAGCAGCAGCAGCAACAACAGCAACAGCAGCAAAGTTCGTCAATCAAAAGCTAAACCAAAATCTCTTCATGCGTGGCATAGGCATAGAGAGGACGAGCAAGCAAAGGATGATGCCACATGATGATGATGATGACGATGGTGCGTTTGCTGTTTGTTTTGTTTTAATTTTCTCGATTTTTTCGCATTTTCAGGCAGCTACTGGCTGACTTGCTTGTGGCCTCCGCCCCACCTTGCTGCATTCTACATGCGAGGCTTTTTTTTCGTTATTTGAAAAACTCTCGAGTTTTGAATTGTTGCCATGTTTTTATTGTTGTTGAGTTTGGTTTAGTTTGTTTATGCGGGACAGGCGGGGCGGTGCTTAGAAAGATGCGTATCAGTGGCGTTTTGCACACAGATAGAGCCATGCAGCATAGAGGTACGAGTAGAGATGATGCTTGCAACGCATTTGACATTTCATCAGCCAGTCAACATTAGTGGGGAAGGCAGCCTGAAAGCCTGAAATTGGAAACGCTGCCATTGCGGCCGACATCGTCGCCTTTTGCATTGATGTGCGTCAGTCATATGGGAGGAGTTTCACATTTTTTTTTTGCTTTTTTTTTTCAAATGTAACACAACAATGCGCTAAAAATTGCATTGTTAGCAGAACACTACATATGGCCAAAGTGCCCAACGCACGCACACGACGCATACACACCCACACACCCACAGCTACACCCACACACACACACACACACACACGCACACACGCATACGCACAAGCTATGCACTTGACAAGCCAGCCAACCAACCTCGGGCAGTCAGAGCCTGCCTGCAGTAAGCTAGCAGCATTTACTTCCGCTTTTAATTAAAAATAAAAAATAAAAACTCAACCAAACCAAACAATAACCTGACGCAGCAAGCAGGCGAAACGAAACCAAACAACAACAACAAAAAAAGAGAAAAATTCACAATTATTTGCGCATAAAAAAACGGAAAAAATTGAAAAACCACACAAACACATTTACAGCAACAGCAGCCAACTGCAAGGGTCGTCCTTTTGCACTCCCATTTGCATTGCTACTCGTATTTGCATGCATACAAGTATCTCATAGATACGCACTTTGTCCACTTTTGCCAGCCAGGCGGATGCTGTTGATGGGCGAAAGGGGGCTCTTGTGGGACAGGGTTGGGCAGGTTCTGCCAACTCTTAATT